CAAATAAGCTTTTTACGATTTTTTAAATGCGACAAATAAGCGAAAAATGCCAATAACTTTCGTATTTTTTAATTTTTCGCCAAACCCATGCTTGGTTCTGAAGASGAGSCTGTGAAGAACATAAATATTGAAAAAACACGTCCATTTGATGTTTCGCACCGAAGATTATATTTTTTAAATGATACCACACATTTTATGTAAACAAAAACCTTTCCACCGGAAGTAAAAATTTTCACGCCATGAAAACGCGCACGCGCCCGCCTCTCTGATTGGCTAGCATCGGCTAGCATAGCAACCAGGTCGTCTAGAAACGGATACGTCAGTACACCCTTAACACACTAGCGAGAAATTGACAAAATAATAATTGAATAGCAATAAATTTGAACAAACTTTGCTGAMTACCGACAAGAACATATTTACTGACTGGCGACATTTTCCTAAAATATATTTTAGGCAATATTCAAAGATATTAGAGTACAAACACTATAACTGTGCAAAATAAATACCACTAAATACTGCTAAATTATGCAATAATTATATTGTTTTCTATTGTTTAATTAACACTATTTTGTAGTGAATAGTGGAAAGTGTTGTACACATTTAATGTTTAGAATACAAGTTTTTGGTATTTTTCAAGCAAGTACATTCGGAGTTTTCYGAGGAAAAATAATTTTTGCTTCGGATTCTTGAATTTTTGATTGGCCACTTTAAGACTTTGACTCAAGACTCAAGGATTTAATTGTTAGCATTTTAGAAAGCATTCTGTTGATATAACGCACCGTTTAGATGCACTCAAAATTAATGTTTATAAACTTTTTTTTAAAAAAAAAACGACTACTGACAACGGGATAATTCTTTCATGCATTTTTGCGAATCTAACAATGTAACAAAACCCGMAGGGCTAGGGCTCCCATTTGAATGTCTCACACGAAATAAGCGAATTAATCTGTATGACCTTTTATTATGCAAAATCCTAAAATTTTGAAAAAAAAAAATAAATAAAAAAGTTGCCGAATAATTGAGTAGATTTGTGATGAAAACAACCGCGCCGTTCTGGAATTTTTCATAATATCCCCCATGAGGTATCCAAGTAGCAAGAATAAAAATGAAGAAAGCGCGTCGTTGAAACAGTTGGTTGGACACCGTCTTAAAAAATTAATCGTGGGACAAATCAATCTATTCTTATTCAAGGATCAGAATCTTGAAAGTTGGATTTTGTGCTGTGTTGACTTTACTAAAGGTATTTACACTCCCAAAGATATAAGGCCAAATTACACTCTAATTATCTATGGGAATATGAATTACTCAAGTAAAAAGATTTGAAAAAAACCTAATCAATTTTAGAGAGGGGAAGATAAAAATTTTGCTCTGAATTGAATTTTTAATTAGGAAGCCTAAATATTTTTGACAACGGTAGAAATACTAAAGAAGGTATTAGTTATGCTACATATTCGTTGCACAAATACACATCCACACTTTTGGTTTACCATCTGGACTAATTCATCGTAAAGTCTATTTGAAAGTACCTTATTTCAATGGAAATAAGGATAAAACACGGATAAAACACGGGTAATGCGCAAAAATCGACTCCCTTTTAAGAGTTGGTAGGTATSCTCAACGGACCTTTTAGGGTCGATAATAAAACCCTCGCGTACCTTTTAGGGTCCTGAGCTGACTCCGTACCTTTTAGGGTCAATTTTCGAACATCGAAAACAAAAATTCAAAATTATAAAGAAATAGATTTTATTAACCTCAGCCACCATCGACATTGATTTTCTCAAGTTTGTTAATTATTAAACTTGGGCTTTTCTCTTGTTAAAGACGTCAGAAATATAGATACAACAMGCTCTCGAGTTCTGTATACGGCTTATCAAACTTTATAATAATTCACATTTTCATRAWTTTCACATTTTCATTGATCGAATATCTTGYTGCATYTCATCGATTAAAATCAACAGCGGTAACGTATGTCGCCKATATTAAATATTCGTCAAATATAGCTGTTTGTATGGTACCATTTGTTTCATGAAACGACTGAAAGTTGGATTTGGCGCATTAGAAGCTTATTTTATTATACTTACTCCTGAAAATTGTTTATTTTCCTATTGTTTTTTAAAGAATGTGCTGGAACTGGGACTAATTGCGCGGACTTGAAATCCCGTCCAGTCCTCATTGTCGGACTTTAAACATTACTACAAGACGGGGCGCGAAGAAAACGGCGAAGCTTATCCGACGAACGAGTAAATTACGAGGAAACGAAACATTGCTTGAACATTGATGTTTTTGCGYTTGATTGTGTTTGATTTCACGCGAGTTTAGACATTTTGAATATTTTTAGGGGAGTGTGGGCCTGATTATTATTCAACCTTTTTCCTGATACAGACTTAATTAATAAAACATTGATACAGAACTAATGTTTTATTAATTAGGTCTGTATCAGGAAAACGTTGAATAATAATCAGCCCCGCACTCCCCTGAAAATATTCAAAGCCGCCCCCAACTTTGAGGTTGCTGCACCTTTTATCCAATATAAAGGTATAATCACGTGATTAGATTCTCAGTATATCATTGGCTAATGATATTATGAATTATTAATGAGTTTGATAACTAATAGATGTGCGCTGTTTCAGGGAATGTACACACATTTCAACATCTTTTATTGACATGCTTTATTAAATACCACTAGTGTTACTTTGAAAATTTTATACAAAAGAAAGAGCACTCTTTTTGTTCAGTTGGACGAACTTATTATAACTCTTATCAGTTAATCTGTATATATCAATCTATCAATAACTSCAAATAAAACATATTACAAGCATTGAATCAGATTTTAGTTAGACGCGGCAAAGAGGTGATAATTGAACCCTCTTTCGATGTAACTCGAACTTCAAATCACAGAAAACTGTAAAAGAACATCTTAAGTATTTTTTCCCCTTGGTTCTTGAACTTCCAATAAATGTTCGTCTCTCAAATACCAAGAAAATGCTAGCTATGGATAGTAAGCTTAATATTTTTTCGTCGGTAAACTGTAAGACACTATAACTAACGATGAGGCAGACAAGGCAAACTCACCTTAAGCATCCGGCTCAGAAATATCATCATCATACTAATATTCAAGAGCTTTATCAATTTACAGTCAGSCTGTATAATTTTGCCTATTCTTTGTTTTTTTTTTTAATATCTCTCAATCGAGTTCTGCTGGCACAACTTGGTTTCAAAATGTCCACACTTCTTGGCGAAAATAATTCACATATATCGTTGCTGTACATGTCCCTCATATTTTTTGAAAAATTTCCAATATAGCAGCACTTTTTTCTTGTCGAAATGTCGTCAAAGTGAAAAGCCATCCTGTTATTCATAAATACTGATCCTAAAAACGGTTGAGGGGGGGTGGAGGAGGTGAGGGGGGGTGGATAAATTACTTTGTTTGCAGACGCGTCGTAGTTTATGACAAAATTGTCGGGAAATTTTCTGTGCTTTGATTTCGCTCTCCTGTGGATTTTTGCTTTTGTTTAATTGTTCTGATATTTTGGCGCTTTTTCCCCTTTTCGTTCGGAGTATGGATTTCTTGTGGTGGTATACGAAAGGAAACGTGCGTACGKCGCGCGGAAACCCTGTGTCGGTCCATGAAAAGTGGACTCGATGGATATACCATTTTTTTCTTAGCTATGGTACTCCGCTCCGCTATAAAATGAATAAACTAGAAATAGGAAAAATAATAATAAAAGAATAAGTTAACCTCATTCTAACTGACGAATGATTGATAATTTTAATTTAGATATTCTTTACTTTTTGATCAGTTTGGAAATGCTTTCCACMAAGATATTACCGACTATCATAATGCTACTCACACATCTCTTCCTCGTCACAAGTAAATTCAACTGCGTCGGAACCTGCTATTCCGGGCTAATGTTCCCTGAACCCCGAGACATCGTCAAMGGCAAACATCTAAAGGGATTCTCGTACAAAAACATCTCCACTGATGATCCTGCCAAGTGTTACTCATCTTGTGTCCAAGACTGTCGTTGTAAGGCTTGTCAGATGAAAGATGCAAGATGTGAGTTTCTAGATGAAGACAAGAATTCAAAAACCTTGAGAGCCGAGTCAGGATATGTATACTTTGATCTCAGGCAGACTATGTACCAAGGAGTAAGTATTTTGGGTTGATTTCTCGTGATTCYGTGCTTAGAAAATGTGCCAGGCAATGGGCTCCCACCAGAGAGAGAGGAGGGGGGTGTCTTTGTACTATATTGCCCAGTCCCCTACACCAACTTACCTATAGTAACCATCATGTCTTACAATTCAGTAATGTTTATTATAGACTTAATCGGTCAATGCATGTTAATGGCTTGTTGCTCGTACTTTTAACTATGATTTGAATTATAAAGTAATCCGCATTGGGAATCTAATTTAAGAATTACTAATAAATCTATATCCACAGTCCTCTCATCTGAAACCATCAGGTGTTCAATGTTACAACGGATGTTGTCGATCAAATCCTTGCCTGAATGGAGGCAAATGCACTGAGCAATGCATCTCACCTAAAGAGAAATTTACCTGTACGTGTACTAATCAATATGAAGGCAGAGTGTGTCAGACAAGGGTATTTTATTCGTCATGCAGAGATGCTTTTAACAAGTTGCCACATGCAACATTGAAAGATGGAGTCTATCTCATTAAGCGCCCTGACAATAAGAAGCTCTTSAATGTTTATTGTCAATTCAATATAAAGACTGGTAWWACCTGGGTGGTAATCGAGTCATTTGCATTAAAAAGCAAAGACTTATTCATCGACAAGCCCTTCGACATCAACTTCAGCGTTAACCAATACGCCTCTGTGCCCAAATGGGAAGCTTATCGCTTAGGWTTGGAGGATATGCAGTACTTTAAAGGGATTTCCACGCTTTTTAGGTCCACCTGTAGCTACGAGAAACGAGGTATGGCCGCATTTGAAACTGATTACATCAGTGGACAACTTTCAAAAACTGATATATTCGAAAACCCAATTTACCATATCTGTAAAAATTTCACAAAATGCAACATTAATGGATCRACCGTAGAGCCTTGTACCGCACGTTTGTATCATCAGTATGGCATGCATATTCACATYGACCCATGGCCGCAAGCATTACCGACTCCWCTCTGCACTTTTACATACAAAAGTGATGTTGGAGGAGCTGATTTTTTCGGATTTTATCAGATTGTAGACCCATTGTTTAAATGCACCGCGACGCAAGACTCCACAACCCAGTGGTGGTTAGGAGATTAACTAAGTGATACTTGTACATAGAAATTTCGACGCTAATGAAGCAAAGAATGGTAGTAGTTCACTTGTGAACGAGTTGGAGGCTTTCCAATATTCTAGAATACAACATGCATGCTGCCGCGAATGCGTTATAAGTATATTCCAAGACTCTTTTGCTTAATCTCTTGATCCTACATAATTATAAGATACTGCCCCGCGGAATGAAATCCGACAATGACATTCAAAAATAGTCAAGAGAACCCTGCGCATCCTTACCTTCGATCATAATTCAGACCTCTTGATGGTTCAATGTATAAATATGGATATTTGAGCATTTAGGATCTCGAGACGATAGATTTGACAGTTTACTCGAGTCTAAATATTATTAGTATTACCATACCAGTGGACTATTGCAAATCCTTWGTTCTGATTGGAAGGTCGCCACAGTTGCTTGTCAAAATTCTAGTTCAGATTCTAGAACAGTTGTTTAGAAGAACAGACCTCGTCAGCTCCTCCTGCTACATCAATTGAACTTGATTAAAGAGACTTGTCAAGAAAATTGCAGTCAATGCAACACTCAACCAGACATGCCAGATCAAAACACAAAGCAACAAGAAAAAAAACATGTAACTGCCTGACATGTCAGAGGAATATCTCTTAAAGCACTAAAAATACCCCGAATGCTTCAAAGATATTGATGCACTCCCAGGGACATACAAGATACCCATACGAGAGGATTCTGTCCCATGTAAAGATGCTCCGAGATCTGTACCAGAAAGTCAGCGCGAACCATTTAAGAATTCTATACAGTTCTACTGCTCAAAATCCATACATTCATGCCGAAGCTCAACTTTTTCCGGAAATTTGGCATTTTTACCTTACATTGGTCAGTCTATTGCCTATTGTTTTTTTTTAGCAAGCCGAGAAAAAGCTCCTTTTTTGATCCACTCCGACGCACATGTTTTCTTGGGTTACACTCGCACAGATGTATGAGAACTGCGTATTTTCTCGACAGGTGCTACCCCGTACCCCGTACACTACATTTTAAATATTTTTTAACCCTATTCAGACTGGTCTTTTCTTTGCAATCTGTGACTAGGTTGGGGGGGGGGGGGGGGGGGGGGTGGAGCTCGTTCGCCCCCCTTCTATATCTTCGGAGCAAATAGGTCTATGAGCATGGAATTTTCACACAATGATCGCCACGTAATAACGAAACAAACATATAGATGTAATGACATAATGACGTCATTTACACCATTTTAACGATTTATAATTCATTTTGATAAATTGCGTTACTGCTCCCCTGTGATATTATGGTTCGTTTCGTATCCATGGTAACAAGTGTGACGTCATAATTGTGATCACGTCATTTCCAATGGTGTTTTTGTCGTCTTTGAATAATTTGACTCCAAATCTCACTTTTTTTGCCTACATCGGTTTTTTATGGTAAATATTACAACTTTATCGATAATCAATATGTATTACTAGCGTGACATTTTGCATTCCTGAGATGCCGAGGTGACACCGGTTTGGTCAGCTCATGGTACGAAAGCAAAAGTTTGAACTTCGGGACCGATTTATTTCTGTTCTGTTTTTGCTGTGATTTTGATATTTCAGGAGGGAATGAAGTGTTTATCTGCGGTTAATTTCCCAAAATTTCAAGAGCTTGGCGCGATTTTTTCGACCCGATTTTGAGGTTTAAGTGAGTCGACTTGGCGATATTGGCGAGTTCGGCGGCCTCGAGTTGCCAGCCTTGTGGGGATTTACTTCACCGGGGCTCGCGATCATTTACCCATGAAAAACGCATCGCACGGCAAAAAGAACCAAAACTCCACACTCAGAAAGCATTAAAGTTTATTTCTGAACTAAAAAAACATAATATAACCCCCCAAAATAACCAAAATATCGATGTTGAAAATGGCCTAATTTGAAGAGATTTCAACGTCTTTCGGCCGATAATCGCCATAGGAGGCCTGGAGCCGACTCTTCTCGATAGTTTGGTAAGCCTGTGATCTTATGTACAATTTTGAGTAATATCACTAGTTCCACCTGTACATCAAGGTATTACTATCTCTTCCTATAAAACT